CATGTACTTCATGATGAACTTAAAAACTTGCTATATCTAACTTGAGTGCAGTGAAAATGTTGATCATGATCCAATGATATCACTCAAACGGGAAGTGGACGATAACTTCAAGTCGGAACATTATTGCCCTACCTTACAAAAATATATTTCTATAGACACTAGACACACAAATAGAACATACCAAATGATAACTCAGAAATATCAATATTCTTCAAAATATTTATGTGACTATCATGAATTTTTAGGATTCATATTTATGATATCTACTACACTTTCCAAAAATCTTAACTTTCTCAAACATAATTGATATCTCATTCTCGATGATTATTGATTGAGGCTATTCTAGAGCCTTATTACATCTGAGCATCTCCCATAGTTGGTGATAACGTAAGCCCAAGATAACACACGTATAAATAATACTCCCTCCGTTCCTAAAAATTCTTCCCGGTTTGAATTGGCACGCTTATTAAGAAAGTGGAATAAAGTGGAAATGTGTGATTGTGGTTGTGTGAGAAAAAAGTAAAATGAATGTGAGCCACACAAATTGTCCAAAAAGGGAAAGTGGGAAGAATTTTTGGGAACGGCCCAAAAAGGAAAGTGGGAAGTATTTTTGGGAACGGAGGGAGTATATTGCTAATCGAAACCATCAATCATCATAAATGATAAACGCCATAAATTTCAAATAAAAAAAAATATAATGATGCCAAGTAGATATATCTCTAAATAATAATTGTCTATAGGACATAAATAATAAACACAAGTTAATCTAAATTTCTGAATCATAGTACAGTGTGCACTAACATAATTTCTAAAATACGAAAGATTTATTTCTATTTTCCATGCAATTCTAGCTCTAACCCACATTGTTCTAAACTTCTATAGCACAAGCTTCAATTCTCACACACAATTTTTTTAGTACAAGTTGTTCTAGCATAAGACGCTGAACTCCTAACTTTTACTATGACAAGTGATTTAACAAATGATGCTTTATTCTTGTTTTATTTCAATACAATTACTTATCTTCATCTCGGCGTAAGTTTCACATGATAAAATGACACTATTATTTAGACAATAATTAAATAAGATAATTTTATATATTTTGAAAAATATTTTTTATTGGTATATAATATATATAATGAGCTCACTCGTGATGATAATTATGTTATAAATGCACTACGCACGTTTAATTTTTAATATTTGATGATCTATTAGATTATCATTAAAGGTTGCCAATTACTCCGTATTTTTTAAAATAGATAAAAAAAATGACAACTTTTAATTGAGATGTCCAAACTGTGATAGAAAGAGTATAACTTACTCACCAATTGATTCATAATATAGAGCTACTACTTGGATATTTTAATTCACAGATAATTGAAAACTTGAAAACTAAAAATATATAGTAAGTGCTGCAAAACTAACCTTGAGATTAAGAGAAGCAAGAACATAGCCAGCTGGGATTGGGATCCTATACTGACTAGGAGGGTGCCTTGCGCATCGGACGGGAGGGGAGAGCGGCCAACACGTCCTTGAGATTGGCGAAAAAGTGGAGCCCAAGATCTCCAACCGATGAATTGTCGATCGGACGACCGGGAGGAAGCAAGACACTCTCTACCTTATTCTAAAGTAAGGTAGAGGCTCCGGATCCAGCCAGCTGCCGTGGTGTCATTAAGATGAAGCACTGTGAGCCTAAGACGGCTTTCGAGCCCCGAGATCATGCTCGGCAGAAGCCGATTAGACCGCCGCTGCCTTACCCACCAGACTTTAAGGTTGACATGGTTTTCCACCATTGTAACATCTATGTCAGCCGCTCCAGCCGTTGCCAGGTGGTGATGATAATGATCGAACTCTGAACAAAATGGTTATTCACATCATCATTTGAATTCTCATTATTCATCACCCTCATTTTTCTTCAAGATTCCCAGTGATAGAGGCGGTGTACTGTGGGCCATAGAAGAATTCAGCAAAGGCCGCCGCCGTCATTTGCGGCGGCGAAGAAGATTCTAGTGCTGCTGTTTCTTGATGGTGATGTTTATCACCCCCTTGTCCCGAAAAGGTTGACTAAATTTCCTTTTTTTGGATGTCCCAAAAAGATTTGTCATTTCCATTTAAAGTAAGGAATATGTGATTAAAATTAATTCTTTTTTCTCTGCACAAATTTCAACTATATAGTTTTTACTTTATTAATCTATGTGAAAGTCAACTTTGTCCAACCTTTTCGAACGAAAGTAATATTAAATTGATGCTTTAGTCCCGTGAGGCCGTGAGGCATTGCAGTTGCTGTTCAAGCTCTTTCACATACTGGGTATGTTTGGCAAATGGCTGTTAGCTGTTGTTGTTAGCTGGTTGTGTCAGCTGTTTCCTAACAGCTGGTTGTGTTAGCTGTTTTGACCGGCTGGTTATGTTAGCTGATTATAGATAACTGTTTGGTAAAATTGGTTGTTTCGAAATGGCTGATAGAGTGTAAATTGAACAAGCCGAACGAATAAGCTGCCCCCCTTAGCTTCTTCAACAATCCATTTTTTCAGCTTTTCAAACTCAACAAGCTAATTTTAAAAGCCATTTACCAAACATCATTATTAGCTTCTTTGACCAATCAAACAGCTGAAATGGGTCAAACAAGCTAAAAGCCGGCTGATAAGCCATTTGCCAAACATGCCCACTACCTCCGTAACATCGGGATGTTCCCATTTGAAAAGTAGGTAGATTAAGAATAGTGAAAGGAGATATGTATTATTAGGGGTATGATGGGAAGATAGTGAAATAATGCGATGGAATGAAGGATAAATCCAAAAAAAGTAGGTGTAATAGTGTATTATTTTTAAAATTATTGACGGTATGATGGGGAGATCTAGAAATGGGAAGATATTAGTGTTACGTCCAAAAAAGGAAAGTGAGAAGATATTTATGTTACGTAGGTAGTACTTAATTGCCCCGCCAATAATTGAGCATTGATCAACCTGCCCAATCCAATCCAATCCATTATGCGGAGTATTTCAATAACATGTGGTTATTATATTCATTCATACTTTTTGCCACTTTTGATCATCTTTTGACTTTTTAAGCACTTTTTATTTGCCTAAAAAATTAAGAGTGTGTCATATATATCGCCATTGGGTGAGGTGTTAATTATGTCTATTGTACTCTTATTACTTCTATTCAAATCATATAAATGACATAAATTGAAAGTTCAATTGTGGTTTAATTTGTTCTGGACTGTTTCAAAAGTTACTTCATACAATTGTTGATGCAATTTTCATCATGTCCAATCAAAAGTAATTATTATGTGCTTTAATAGAAAGATAAGACTACATATATGATATATCCAACCACTTAGCTCACCATTGGTGTGAGGCTTTATTCTATGTGAATCTAGTCCCGGTCTTACTCTTATCTGAAACGATCTATTTAAGTGTGATAAAATGATTTAATATGGTTTGATTTCATCTTGGTAACTAAAAATAGTTTAAATGAAAATGCCTTAAATAAAACTTCATTCAAAGAGAAGATTAAACAAAAATTTTCTTGCCAAGAAAACTAATCGATTCTCTCCAGATGGGCGCATCTAGGGTTTAGGCCACCGTCTATGGAGTTGTGGCGGGCGGCGCTGTGAGTCAAACGACGAGAGTGTCCCGGGTTTTCGCTAGCAGGATCTCGACTGGAGTGCATTGCACGATTCTTGGGTTTTGTGTTTGGAAGTTTATTGCAGACCATTGACGGAGTTTTGTCTCTGCGAGTTAGTGGGACGGCCAAGGAGTGCTGCGATCAACAAATACTGTGGCTTTACCGAACAAGGAAGAGGCCAAGAGCAGTTGCGCGATAGAGAGGGAGGTAAATGAAATTCAGTACTTTCAAAGGCGACAGTAGATCTGAAGCAAATAGGGTGGTGAGACCCAAGATTCCAATGATGGGCTTGGCTAATTTGGTTCTGGCAGTGGCTGAAATGGGAGTTACACCGTTTGTGTTTGATCTGGGTGGAGCGTTAGAGGGTTGGGAGTCAGGTCAAAGGGGTGAAGCTGGGATCCAGGTAGCTGTTGGGGGATCGGAGCGGGTTTTCTGGCCGTCTTAGGCGGTGAAAGCAGAAGATGGTAGGCGTGTGATTCGTCTCCCTCTAGAACCGCCGCCACAGAGGAATCACGAGACTAGGGCTTCGAAATTGGCGGTGCAGCTTATATTTATTTATTTCTGTTATATTCTGTTGGGTACTTTTTATTTTGTTTCTGTTAGGTCAAATAATAAGTGTGGTAGTTTCTTAGTTTGGGTTACTGTAGTTTTTAGATTTCTGATGAGAGGCAATCAGGCTGATTCAGCCGCTAATAGCCTCAAAGCTCTCACATTTTCAACGATTAGTCTCGCTTCTTTTGGGGTGGACTACTCTATGTCTGATAAACAAGTGAGGGTAGTGTCAGGTGTTTACGTTGTTTGTTGGCAAATTCTTCTGGTTGTATTGTGAATTCTGAATTAATATATATGTTAGTTTTCCTTTAAAAAAAAGAAGATTAAATAAAAGGGACAACTGTCAAATAGGTCCTCGAACTTTCATAAAAAAGTCAATTAAGTCCTTCTATAGGAGACTCTGTCCGATCGTCGCGATTTGGGGTAGTTCCCGGTGGAATTTTTTAATGAAATTTTTTGAGCATCTTATTCATCAAGTGTAGTTTACTCATATCAAATTTCAGCTAAAAAATTTAATCGAGAGCGCATTCAAATTAATTCGAGAACACAAAAATGCGCAGTTATCTTCAAGAATTAATTTGAATGTGTTCCCGATTGAATTTTTAGCTGAAATTTTGTATGAGTAAACTAGACTTGGTGAATAAGATGCTCAAAAAATTTCATCAAAAAATTCCACCGGAAACTGCCCCAAATCGCGACGGCCGGACAAAACCTCCTATAGAAGAACTTAATTGACCTTTTTATGAAAGTTCGAGAACATATTTCACAGTTTTCTCTTAAATAAAATACACAAACATACTCAGAAAAAGGATGTAAATGCATAATAATGATAATATGATTTGCCTTCGTAAAATTACTTATGTTTATCGACTCCAAAATGCCTTCCGAATTTGAGAAACAAACAACCAAGTAAATTTAGGTTGAGCTTTCTAGAAGTTTGAAAATTTTGGAATGAAAATAGAGGAATTTGAATTAATATTTTTTTTACTTGTGATTTTGCACTCTAATTACCAAACTATACATAGCTAATTTACGTTTGGTCGCAGATCAAATAATTTCTCAAATGAGGTAGAAGCTCAGATTGATATGAAAATGTGAAATGCAAACTCAAATTCTCACAAAAAACGCCGGAGAAAGTGCATAAAAAGCAGAGAGAGACCCTTTGGACATACGATTCCGGCAAAAGCCCCCGGAGGACCGCCAGGTACTCATTCATCTGTTTCCGTCGGTTCCGCTCGACGGAAGTGTGAGTCCTCCTCTGAATTTCGATTTCCTCCCGGTTTTGGGGGGTTCTCGCCTCTCGGACGTCGCTGCCGCCGATTTAGTAGCTGAACCGGCAGCGGAAGCTGAAAATCTTCTTGCTGTGAAGGTGAAAGAAGATGAGGCCATTGGTGAGGGATGATCGGAGAGTTTGAATTGTGGTAATTGAGAGGAAGAAGATGAAAAATGAAGAGAGGCAGTGTGGTGAAAGGTGGAGTTGATAGAGTAAAAATCACGTTGGAGTGGCAGGATGAGTACCCACTTTTGTACTCACCGTGTTTGTACAATGTTTTATTTTTGTCTGTGAAACACATTCACAGACATGGCGAGTATAAGGTGGGTACAAGATAGTGTACAACAAGAATGGTTGGACACAGATACCATAGTTAGATCATAATTAGTGATGTTATAAGTCATTGTGTTTGTATTATTGTATATGTAAAGGTATACATAGATAGAACAATGTTGATGTAAAGTTAGTTTAGAACTTGTAATTCTTAGAGCCCGTTTGGCATCACGAAAATTGGTTGATTTGACTGATTCTGCTGAAATTTATGAAGTTCTTGCTGAAGTGGTTGCAATGATTGATTCTGCTGATTTAAAAAAAATTATTTTTAAAATATATTTTATTAATAAAATAAAGAAAAAAAACTATATACAAGAATAGCTAAAATGATCATCTACAGTCACTTCTGCCAATACAGCCAGAAAAGTAACTTCAACCTTAATTTTCTGCCTATTACACAATTCAGGGCGCAAAAGCAAAAGTTACGTGTTTGGTGAAAAGTTGGCTGATATGCCTAATAAGCCGAAAAACAGTTTTGCCAAACGGCCTTTTAGACTTCTTTAGTTTGAAATGCTTCCGGATCCGACTTTTTTATGAAATTTCTTGAGCATGTTCTCCATAAAGTGTAAACTATCTCCACCAAATTAAATTTCAGATTAAAACATAATCGCGAAGTTGGTCAAATTAAGGGGAAAAGAGGCAAATAAGCCCTCAAACTAATAAAAAAAGTGCACATAAGCCCTTTTGTAGGAGGTTTTGTCTGATCATCGTCATTTGAGGAGGTTCTCGGTGGAATTTTTTGATGAATTTTTTTGAGCATTTTCTTCATTAAGTCTAGTTTAGCCATACCGAATTTCAGCTAAAAATTCAACCGGGAAAGCACTAAAATGATTTTCGGAAATATACTGCGTGGTTTAACTGCGCAGTTATCTTCAAAAATTCATTTGACTGTCTTCCCGGTTGAATTTTTATCTTAAATTCAATAGGACTAAACTAGACTTAATGAATAAGATGCTCAAAAAATTTCATCAAAAAATTCCACCGTGAACCTCCCCAAATGACGATGACTGGACGGAACCTCCTACAAAAGAGCTTATTTGCACTCGAGGGCTTATTTGCCCCTTTTCCCTCAAATTAATTATTAAAAGAACTACATCTTATAAAACTGGGGAATTTTCAATAATTTATTTATCTGACTTCTAAATTGAATTTTAACTTGACATTTGATTGACATAGTCTACACTTCATGAATAGTTAGGCTCTTCTTATTAGGTCTTAACATGAGTAAATTGAAGGTTCTAGAATCATTTTATCTTTATATTAATGTCAAAATATTTGTCCTACACCGGAAGACTATATAAAAATAAGACACTATATAAGAGTTTGAGCTACTCCTCCTATCAGGTTGACCTTTTAGTAAGGAACCCCAACTTTTGATATGACTTCAAGAGCCAAGTCTGATTGTGATTTGACGATTTATTTTTCACTCATGATTAAGAGTAGATTGGTAAGGGTCTGTTTGGCCCATTTATACATCCTGATATTGTCCAATCCGATTATGACTGAGATGACGTGTTAAAATATTTGTCTCACACCGAAAAGCTAAAAACAATAAGACGCTATATAAGACTTTTTAGGATGAAACCTCAAGTTCTAACAATTAATGATGTAGTCTTCATGTAGTTAGTAGTCATGGTCATTTAATTTTTTTTTTTTAGTTTTTTTCTTCTTTTCTTATTTTTGAGTTTGGAGAACAAAATGCACTACTTGCTTGAATGCTTGTGAGTAAAAAACGATGGTTCATCTTAATGTCGTATTAACGATGCTTAATTAGTCTTGATTTGATCATCACTGTTTTAGTTTTGACTACACATTGTTCCGATCCAATTCTTTTTTAGACCGGAAAATAGTTCATCTTGATGGTATTATAGTCATAGTGCACTCATGTTTTTTTTTTAAACATAGTGCACTCATGGTAGTTAGCTATTTGTTGCCTTCTACTTTCCTTATTTTTTGTTTTGTATAACATGCTTTTTTATCTTTATACACTACCACTATCATTATAATTACTTGACTTTGGCCACCCAATGGCAACATTTACCATAATTTTAGAGAATAAGTGAAATACCAAAATTCTGAGCTACTGGGGGTGGGTGTGGCTAGTGGCGAAGAGAGGTATTGGGATCTACCGGCATTGGTGGGGAGGAACGGTAAATTTATTTTATCCTATTTGAGACAACAAATAGTTAATCAAATTCAAAATTGGAATAATAGATTCCTGTCAAGAGCAGACAGAGAAGTGTTTCTTAAATTTGTCATTCAAGCCATGCCGAATTATGCTATGAGTGTCTTTCTTCTGCCAAAAGAACTATGCAGGGATATTGAGATTCTCATGAATGGGTACTCGTGCAATGTGGAAATGGAAGTTGCCCCCAAAATTTAAGAACTTCTGGTAGGTTTGATATGGTTTGTTGCCGGAAAGATTGAATTTGAGAAGTTGTCGGGTTGATTGTGCGCTGGAGTGTGGGTTATGCGATGGTGTTGCTGAGTCGCTATCTCATCTCTTCACTTCATGTCCGATGGCGAAGGAAGCATGGGGTGGAGTTAGGTGGGTCTGGTCGAGCCTTGTGGAAGATGATTTTTTAGAGGTTGCTAGACAAGAGTTCCAAGCGAAACAGGAGGAAGAATTGTAGAATTGCGCAAGTTGATTTGGGGCTGCTGGGGTTTGTGGTGTGCTAGGAACAACGGGGTGTGGAATGGAGTTCAGCAGCCCCTAATCAAATCTTGTTAAATTCTAAATTTTTTATTGCAGGATGGGAGTTTGCTCAATAGACTGGTGCTTCGAAAGCTGGAGAGGCTATGCAGGTTCCATCTGTTTGGAGGAGGCCAGCTTCGGGTCGAGTGAAGCTTAATGTTGATGCAGCTGTTCAAACGTCCCAATGCGGCCTTGGGTGGATTATTCGTAACGAGGATGGGGAGTTCATTGCGCGAGCAGCGAAGTCTTGGCATGGTAGGTTATCTGTTTGGGAAGCTGAATTGGTGGGCATCCATGAAGCTCTCAGTGGGATCAATGAGACAGGTTGGGACTCCATCGATGTGGAGACTAATTCAGTCCATGCGATATCGGAAATTCAGAGTGGAGCCATTGTTCTGCGGCTGGTATGGTAGCGGTCGACATTCAGGATTTGAGTTCAAGATTTCAAAAATATTACATTTTCATATGTTAGACGACTGCGAACAAGGCGGCTCATGACTTGGCACAAGTCGCGTAATACATTTTGTATTAACACTAGTCAATATTGCTCATTGTGAATCGTTAATACATTTTGCTAATACATTTTTTGTATTAACAAAGTGTAATAGATTTTGTTATCGTAGAGAGAAGATGTAATCGTAGAGAGTGTATGGATTTGGAGCAACTTCTATGAAATATTTACGAAGATGAAATATACAGAGGAGTTTACAGGCAGGGCCGGTCCTAAGCCAATGAAGGCCCTGTGCAACAATAATATTTGGGCCTTTTTTCCAAGTTCTAACACAAGTAAATTGTGTTTAAATACAAGTTTTAAAAAATAATAATAAAAACAAAAACAATAAAACAAGTTTTATTCAGTTAAATTCAAGTTAAAATTTTGGTTGAATCATGAAAAATTATACTAATATAATTATAATCTATAGGCCTAAAGGGCTAAAGGTACCTAATAACATACTTGTACGGTACACCTATTTCTTAAATTTTACTTCCTCCTAACATTCATATCTTCCCACTTTCCTTTTTTGGGTAACATTTATATCTTCTCATTTCTAAATCTTCTCATCATACCCTCAATAATTTAAAAAATAATACATTACTAAACCTACTTTTTTTGGATTTATCCTTCATTCCATCACATTATTTCACCATCTTCCCAACATACCCTCAATAATTCATACCCATTTCACTGTTCTTAATCTCACCCACTTTGGAAGTGGAAAGATATATGTGATACGGATGGAGTAGTTGTTAGACACAATTATTATCAAACCCATTACAACATTGAATTGAAATAACAATTCAACAAACTAATTTGAGTGTATTTCCAACAAACTAAAATAAATATTATCAATTAAACAACTGAAATAAATTAAATATACAAATAAGTGAATAACAACAATGAAACAAACTAATTTCAAAATTTTCAATAATTTGCAAATTCAATCGAAGGTATACGAAAATCTATTGAGTATTGAGTATTGTGCTTAGTTTAGTTGCTTAGCGGGCTATTGCTCTACTGGCGGATTGCGGAGTATTGGGAGTAGTGCAGATTGCAGACAACAGTCGACGGTCAACAAACAAGCGGTCGTGGAGGCGGGGTTCGGTGGTGCGGCAGCGCCGTGGCGGGCTGGTGCTTGTGGTTGGCGGTTCGCAGGCTCGGTCAAGCGGAGCTTCGTCTTTCCGACTTCCTCCGCGACTCTGTGTTCTTCTTTCTATTTCTTCAGATTTTGGAGCTGGGCTGGCAGATTAGTACGAAGTAATACAGAGTACTAGTTCTTTTTGGGCCCTCCAAAACTTTGGGCCCTGTGCAGCTGCACATGGAAGACATGTCCTGGGCCGGCCCTGTTTACAGGGGAAGAGAAAGAGTTCATATATGAGGGAAAAGTTTAAAAGCTTGGAGGGCAAAGAAGAAATTTGACATTATATTAGTCATAATTTAGAAATACGGCTTCCTAGGAGTCTTAGTTGAGGTAATTTCACTTTTATTTATTCCGTTATTCAAACGTTACTCTCAATGAAGAACATAGGACAAGGCATGTCATGTGAAATACCTAATTCAAATAAGTAAAATTACTACGTATTCTAGGAATTGTGATGTTATACTCCGTATAATTTAAGTAAGCTTATTAACACTAGTCAATATTGCTCATTGTGAATTGTTAAAAACTGCTCTCAAGACTCTGGTTGGGAAGAGAAACCCCTAGCGATCCTACGGCCGCCAAGCAAAAGTCACGTCCTGGAGATGATATTTGCTTGACGTAGCTTAAAGAAAGGCACGGCATGAACAGATTGAACTCGTTTGGGGAGTGATCGAGCACTGGTAAGAACAGAAGGTAATGTCTTTTGTCACTGTAGCTTCAATTTTGTGATCGGGTTCTCCGATTTGCCGTATCCAACTGAGCTTTAGGTTCTGGTTGAGAGTTTTGCACTGCGTTTCGTTTGTAAACGTCGATTGAGAGCAGCTTGTTATGTCAATTGCTTTGTGTTTGTTAGTTTTGTTGGTCTAT